AACCCCTGGCCAGACTTATCAAAAAGAAAAGAGAAAGGACCCAAATAAATAAAATCATGAATGAAAGAGGAGAGATCACAACTAACACCAAAGAAATACAGACAATTATAAGAACATACTATGAGCAACTCTACGCCAACAAATTTGACAATCTGGAAGAAATGGATGCATTCCTAGAGACATATAAACTACCACAACTGAACCAGCAAGAAATAGAAAGGCTGAACAGACCCATAACCAGTAAGGAGATTGAAACAGTCATCAAAAATCTCCAAACAAACAAAGCCCAGGGCCAGATGGCTTCCCGGGGGAATTCTACCAAACATTTAAAGAAGAACTATTCCTATTCTCCTGAAACTGTTCCAAAAAATAGAAATGGAAGGAAAACTTCCAAACTCATTTTATGAGGCCAGCATCACCTTGATCCCAAAACCAGACAAGGATCCCATCAAAAAAGAGAACTACAGACCAATATCCTTGATGAACACAGATGCAAAAATTCTCGCCAAAATACTAGCCAATAGGATCCAACAGTACATTAAAAGGATTATTCACCACGACCAAGTGGGATTTATTCCTGGGCTGCAAGGTTGGTTCAACATCCGCAAATCAATCAATGTGATACAACACATTAATAAAAGAAAGAACAAGAACCATATGATACTCTCCATAGATGCTGAAAAAGCATTTGACAAAGTACAGCATCCCTTCCTGATCAAAACTCTTCAAAGTGTAGGGATAGAGGGCACATACCTCAATATTACCAAAGCCATCTATGAAAAACCCACCACAAATATCATTCTCAATGGAGAAAAACTGAAAGCTTTTCCGCTAAGGTCAGGAACACGGCAGGGATGTCCGTTATCACCACTGCTATTCAACATAGTACTAGAAGTCCTAGCCTCAGCAATCAGACAACAAAAGGAAATTAAAGGCATCCAAATCGGCAAAGAAGAAGTCAAACTATCACTCTTCGCAGATGATATGATACTATATGTGGAAAACCCAAAAGGCTCCACTCCAAAACTGCTAGAACTTGTACAGGAATTCAGTAAAGTGTCAGGATATAAAATCAATGCACAGAAATCGTTGCATTTCTCTACACCAACAACAAGACAGAAGAAAGAGAAATTAAGGAGTCCATCCCATTTCCAATTGCACCCAAAACTATAAGATACCTAGGAATAAATCTAACCAAAGAGACTAAGAATCTATACACAGAAAACCATAAAGTACTCATGAAAGAAATTGAGGAAGACACAAAGAAATGGAAAAATGTTCCATGCTCCTGGATTGGAAGAATAAATATTGTGAAAATGTCTATGCTACCTAAAGCAATCTACACATTTAATGCAATTCCTATCAAAGTACCATCCATTTTTTTCAAAGAAATGGAACAAATAATCCTAAAATTTATATGGAACCAGAAAAGACCTCGAATAGCCAAAGCAATATTGAAAAAGAAAGCCAAAGTTGGTGGCATCACAATTCCGGACTTCAAGCTCTATTACAAAGCTGTCATCATCAAGACAGCATGGTACTGGCACAAAAACAGACACATAGATCAATGGAACAGAATAGAGAGCCCAGAAATAGACCCTCAACTCTATGGTCAACTAATCTTCGACAAAGCAGGAAAGAATGTCCAATGGAAAAAAGACAGCCTCTTCAACAAATGGTGTTGGGAAAATTGGACAGCCACATGCAGAAAAATGAAATTGGATCATTTCCTTACACCACACACGAAAATAGACTCAAAATGGATGAAGGATCTCAATGTGAGAAAGGAATCCATCAAAATCCTTGAGGAGAACACAGGCAGCAACCTCTTCGACCTCAGCCGCAGCAACATCTTCCTAGGAACATCGCCAAAGGCAAGGGAAGCAAGGGCAAAAATGAACTATTGGGATTTTATCAAGATCAAAAGCTTTTGCACAGCAAAGGAAACAGTTAACAGAACCAAAAGACAACTGACAGAATGGGAGAAGATATTTGCAAATGACATATCAGATAAAGGGCTAGTGTCCAAAATCTATAAAGAACTTAGCAAACTCAACACCCAAAGAACAAATAATCCAATCAAGAAATGGGCAGAAGACATGAACAGACATTTCTGCAAAGAAGACATCCAGATGGCGAACAGACACATGAAAAAGTGCTCCACATCACTCGGCATCAGGGAAATACAAATCAAAACCACAATGAGATACCACCTCACACCAGTCAGAATGGCTAAAATGAACAAGTCAGGAAATGACAGATGCTGGCGAGGATGCGGAGAAAGGGGAACCCTCCTACACTGTTGGTGGGAATGCAAGCTGGTGCAACCACTCTGGAAAACAGCATGGAGGTTCCTCAAAATGTTGAAAATAGAACTACCCTATGACCCAGCAATTGCACTACTGGGTATTTACCCTAAAGATACAAACGTAGTGATCCGAAGGGGCACGTGCACCCGAATGTTTATAGCAGCAATGTCTACAATAGCCAAACTATGGAAAGAACCTAGATGTCCATCAACAGACGAATGGATAAAGATGTGGTATATATCCACAATGGAATACTATGCAGCCATCAAAAGAAATGAACTCTTGCCATTTGCGACGACGTGGATGGAACTAGAGGGTATCATGCTTAGTGAAATAAGTCAATCGGAGAAGGACAACTATCATATGATCTCCCTGATATGAGGGAGAGGAGATGCAACATGGTGGGTTAAGGGGGTAGGAGAAGAGTAAATGAAACAAGATGGGATTGGGAGGGAGACAAACCATAAGTGACTCTTAATCTTACAAAACAAACTGAGGGTTAATGGGGGGAGGGGGGTTGGGGCGGGTGGGATTATGGACATTGGGGAGGGTATGTGCTATGATGAGTGCTGTGAAGTGTGTAAACCTGGCGATTCACAGACCTGTACCCCTGGGGATAAAAATATATGTTTATAAAAAATAAAATTTAAAAAAAAAAAAGAAAAAGGTAATAATGGGGAGGGGCCTTTCCACTTTAAGATGAGGGCATCTACAAAAGCACAGAGAAGAACAAGAATGATGTTTAGGGTAAACTGTAAGGAGTTCAGTATGGCTATGATAGAGCATGGGGAGAATGGTCACTAGTTGCTCCAGAAGTTCTATATTAGCCACATTTAGGGATGACAGTCTGGTTGCAGGAGAGTCTTCTTGAAAGTACTGTATCAGACAAATACAAAACGGGAGCACAGCTGAGTTTTCATATGGTATTAACCATGTATATCATAGTAACTTATACATGGAAAGATCAATGTGGGGTAGAAAAAACAAGGCAAGAGTGTTTAATTTCAACACACCTGAGGACCATGTAGCATTTTCAGAGGTAAAAAAGAGGATCTGTAATAGGTACTGTAGTGTTGTGATAGAAAGGCCAATTCTTGATCTACACTGCCAGTTATTAAATCCTGATTCTAGTTACAAGATGTTGGGGAAGATATTTAACTTCCATTTATCTGTTTGATCCTCTGTAAAATGGGGATAATAACAGTATCTCATACTGCTCTTATACAAATTACTTACCTCATAGGTTTGCAATGAATATTAAATTAATTAATAGGGTAAAGTGCTTTTGACAGTGCCTTGCACAGAATTAGTTCTCAATAAATATTATTTAGCTATTATTGGGCCAGCCATATGAATACTTACCAAGAGTCATAAAATCTTTGTTTCAGGAACTGTTATAAGCACAGTTTATGTTCATTATCAGAAGGTTTCTTGCTATAAAATAAAATAGAATAAAATAAAAATAATATAGAAGACACCCAGGTGCCCCCACCTGGGCACCTGGGTGACTCAGTTGGTTAAGTGCCTGCCTTTGGCTCAGATCATGATCTCAGGGTCCTGGGATCGAGCCCCACATCAGGCTGCCTGCTTCTCCCTCTTTCTCTGCCTGCTGCTCTCCCTACTTATGCTCTCTCTGTGCCAAATAAATAAATAAGTGAAATCTTTTTTAAAAAAGAAGAAAAAGACACAGAGATGCATTCCAACATAGCACATACAAAGATTAAGAGAAAAAGTTACTTAACATTAAATATTAGTATTTTAGTATATTAACTTGCATGAAAAAAATATAAAAAAAAATAATTACAGAATTTAGAAGAATATATGTGTTAGGAAAGGCTAGGAATACAAGTAACTTATACTGACATAGGAGAAAGCCAAGTTCTGAAAAAAATTGTACTAATGTGGACCCAGGCCACTTAATCCCTGGATGCTCCTTGCATCCATCTCAAATAGCTCCAGATTAATTCTAGACTGGTCCTTAAAAGAAGAATAGACATATGTCAATCTGAGACAAGAAAATATTCAGAGTCTGTCCATTAGGACCTCAAACTTTAGTGCTATCACCGTAAACACACTACATAAATTTTTCTGAGTCAGTCAAGAAACTTAATAATTATAATCAATGATATAATTATACAAGTATTATAATTACAGATACAGTGTTTTAACCATGTATTATTATAGGCACCTCAGATATTTCATGTAATTTAACATTCACAACAAATTGCCAAAGTTATTTCTTTCCCACATCTTACCATGAACCAACTGAAAGTCACACACAAAGCTAAATGGCATGGTGTTAACTATTCATGATGTATTATTTTAAAAATAGAACCAGCTTCCTTTTTAAAAGATTTTATTTCAGAATATTCATTGATATTGAGATTTATATGTACATTTAGAATAATGTTGTCCCTATTACTTTATTAGAGGCCTGACACTTCACAGCACAATTCTCGGGGTTACTGGTAGCTTTGCCTCTGCTACTGCATGGCCCTACAAAGTACTGAATCTCTCAGTGCTTCACTTTCATCATCAATAAAGTTAAAATTGTATCCATGCCTTTCCTGATACCCAGAGCTGAATGAAAAATCAAAATATTGCAGGTAAAAGTGATGTTTTAAACTAAATTATAGATTTAAATTTCCTGAAGTCATATACTTATCTGAACTCCACAAGCAACACAGGCACATGCAGATGGAGAATTGCTCAGCGGTCACTGAATTCTTCCTGGTGGGACTTTCCAAATACCCAGAACTCCAGCTTTTTCTGTTCATGCTCTGCCTCATCATGTATGTGATAATCCTCCTGGGAAACAGTCTCCTCATTATCATCAGTGTACTGGATTTTCACCTCCACACCCCCATGTACTTCTTCCTTAGGAACCTCTTGTTCCTGGACATCTGTTATACATCATCATCCATTTCTCCAATGCTCATCATATTTAGGTCCGAGACAAAATCCATCTCCTTCATTGGCTGTGCTCTGCAGATGGTTGCCTCCCTTGGGTTGGGCTCCACTGAGTGTGTCCTCTTGGCTGTGATGGCCTATGACCGGTATGTGGCCATCTGCAACCCACTGAGGTACCCCATCATCATGAACAGAGTGCTTTATATGCACATCGCTGCTTGGTCCTGGATCATAGGCTGTATGAATTCCTTAGTGCAAACAGCCCTGACAATGGTGTTGCCTTTCTGTGGAAATAACATTATTGATCATCTTACCTGTGAGATCCTGGCCCTTCTTAAACTCATATGTTCAGATATTTCCATGAATGTGCTTATCATGACAGCGGCAAGTATTGTTTTACTGGTGATTCCTCTGCTGTTAATTTTCATCTCCTGTATTTTTATCCTCTCTTCCATCCTGAGAATTAATTCTACTGAGGGGAGAAAGAAAGCTTTTTCTACCTGTTCAGCCAACCTCACTGTGGTTGTCTTATTCTATGGTTCAGCTCTTTTTATGTACATGAAGCCCAAGTCAAAGGACACAAAAGCACCCGATGAAATCATTGGATTGTCTTATGGAGTGGTAACCCCGATGTTGAACCCCATCATCTACAGCCTGAGGAATAAGGAGTTGAAAGAGGCTCTGAAGAAAGTCTTGAGTAGACACTTAAAATCATGGAAAATATGAAAGTGTTTAGGACATGTGAACACATCTGGAGAGACGTATTTTATGTAGTCCCGGATGAAGTTGCAGAGCTCAGTATAATGAAAGCATTGTGTTCGTAAGGCCAAATGTGTAATTCTCATTCTTACAACAGAGAATTTCCATGTAAATCTTTTCATATAATATATTTGCAGCAGTCCTTCTAGTTATATGGAACCATGCCTCTTGATCCCATAGAGGTCATGATGGATGCTGTTTATTAAGAATATCTCTCTGTCTCTATGGATTGCCTTCTCTCTCTCATCTTTGCTCCCTTTTCCTTCTTTTACCTTTCTTTCTTTGCTCTCTTCTTTATCTTCTTTCTCAGTCTCCTCCAGGTATAAATGTATATATTGTTTTAGTCTGCCCAGCATCCTCTCATCTTGTAAAAGAACACATCTTTTTATTTTAAGGAATCAACTGTCTCCCATGCTCAGTCTATATTTGGCTGAGGTTGACACACACTCTCTGTATCAAATAAGCATGAAACAAAGACTGGGCCAATGAAAAATGAACATCCCCTAGCTACAGTGATTTGTTCAGGGTAGCATGTGACCTAAACCATGCTAATCTCACTTAATTGCCGAAATGTTGCCTGAGCATCAAAGAAGAGTCACTCTTTTTTTCAACAGTTTCTAAGAGGCAGAACATATGCCTGGATCTTCTCCTGGCCATCTTTATCAATACATGGGGAGAGCCAGACTGAAAATGAAATCACCAAAGAGGAAGATAGAGCCGAGGGAAGAACTTAGGGTGTGCCTGATGTCATTATTAACTCCTGGTTCAAGGTGGGTCTAAAAACATTAATGTTTGGTCTTTTCAGTTATGTGAGCCAATAAAGTTCCTTTAATAGATTGAATTCAGGGTGCCTGGCTGGCTCAGTGGGTTAAGCCTCAGCCTTCGGCTCGGGTCATGATCTTAGGGTCCTGGGATGGAGCGCTGCATCAGCCTCTCTGCTCAGCAGGAAGCCTGCTTCCCCCTCTCTCTCTGCCTGACCCTCTGCCTACTTGTGATCTCTCTCTCTGTGTCAAATAAATTAATAAATAATCTTTTAAAAAAATAGATTGAATTCATTTCCACTGTTTATAAGCCTATAAATCCTTACTAATGCATTCTCTTTTTCTTAGTTCCAGAGGTAGAATTTAGGGATTTGTCAGTTGTATATAACAGCCACTGCTCATTACTTCAAGTGCCCTCCTTAATGCCCATCTCTCAGTTACCCAATCCCCCCACCTACCTCCCCTCCAGGAACCCTCAGTTTGTTTCCTATAGTTAAAAGTCTCTTATGGTTTACCTCCCTCTCTGTTTTCCTCTTATTTTATTTTTCCTCCCCTTCCCTTATGTTCATCTGTTTTGTTTCTTAAATTCCACATATGAGTGAAAATATATGGTATTTGTCTTTCTCTGACTCACTTATTTCACTTAGCATAATACTCCCTAGTTCCAGCCACGTCATTGCAAATGGCAAGATCTTTCTTTTTGATGGCTAAGTGATATTCCGTTGAATATATACCCCACCTCTTCTTTATCCAGTCATTCGTTGATGGACACCTGGGTTCTTTTCATAGTTTGGCTCTTGTGGACGTTGTTGCTATGAACATTGGGATGCAGATGCCTCTTTGAGCACTGTATTTGTATCTTTCGGGTAAATGCCTAGTAATGCAATTGCTGGGTCATAGGGTAACTCTATTTTTAACTTTATTGAGGAACCTCCATACTGTTTTCCAGAGTAGCTGCACCAGTTTGCATTCAAACCAACAGAGTAAGAGGGTTCGCCTTTCTCCATATCCTCGCCAACATCTGTTGTTTCCTAAATCATTAATTTTAGCCATTCTGACAAGTGCGAGGTGGTATCTCATTGTTATTTGATTTGTATTTCCCTGATGCTGGTGATGTTGAGCGTTTTCTCATGTGTCTGGTGGCCATTTGTGACAGTATGGTACTGGCACAAAAGCAGACACATGGATCAATGGAACAGAATAGAGAACCCAGAAATAGACCCTCAACTACATGGTCAACTCATCTCTGACAAAGCAGGGAAGAATATCCAATGGAAAAAAGACAGTCTCTTCAACTCCTAGACTCCTGGAATGAAACTGGACCACTTTCTTATACCACACACACACACACACACACACACACACACAACCCACACACAAACCCAAAATGGATGAAAGGCCTAAATGTGAGACAAGAGTCCATCAAAATCGTAGAGGAGAGGGGCACCTGGGTGACTCAGTTAAGCACCAGCCTTTGGCTCAGGTCATGATCCCAGGGTCCTGGGATCGAGCCCCATATTGGGCTTTCTGTTCAGCAGGGATTCTGCTTCTCCTTCTTCTTCTGCCTCTCCCCTTGCTTGTGTTCTCTCTCTCTCAAATAATAAATAAAATCTTTTCCTAAAAAATCCCTGAGGAGAACATAGGTAACAACCTCTTCGACTTTGGCTGCACCAACTTCCTGCTAGATACATCTCCAAAGGCAAAAGAAACAAATACAAAAATGAACTACTGGGACTTCGTTAAGATAAAATCTTACTCATTCTCTCCCTCACCCTCTCCCTCACTAGCTCTGGGCTCTAACTTTTCCTCTGTATATCCCTTTTTCCTGATTCTTTAGAATATTGTTTGTGTCTCTCCCCCTCGTTGTCATTTTGTGACTCTGTTTCCATCTCTTTCTCACTCTTGATCTTTCATCTTCTGTCTCAAAAACTGCTCATTTTTAAGAATACTGTTGTTCCCAAATTCACCAGCACTCAGGAGTCACTTCTTCCTTTAGTATAAATTATAAAAATATAATAATTACAATAATATAACCTTCATGCTGCATGAATGCACACAATTTATCCCCCCTTGCAAATATTGCTGAGGACTTTTTACATTTTCTTAGTTCTTGGTCAACTTTTCTCCAGATAGCTCTACTGTTCTTCCCTATCATTTTTCTGATTATCTTACAATTATTTTTCTCTACAGCCCATCTCACACCCCAAAGAGTATATACAAAACATATACATTCAAGAGGTTGTCACATTTAACAGACTACTTAGCTTGATAATAAAATAAAGTGATGCAGAAAAAAAACTCTACCTCATTGCTGAATATCACTGCTCCTAGGATCTACTAGACATATTCCCTCATAAGGGCCTCTTAAAGCCATTTCCCTGTTTAGCTCCTGGCTAGTCACCTTCTGCTTCCTCTACAACATTAAGCTTAACCCAATAAAAACATATGGGTAGACAACTAAAAGCACTCCTCCTTATGGTCCTGCCCAAAACAGATGGGATCTTCTACTCTTATAATTATAGAAAAGAAGTTTAGGCACTTTTAAAAACAATGTGTCTTCAGGGCGCCTGGATGGCTCAGTCTTCGGGGCACCTGGGTGGCTTAGTTTATTAGACATCTAACTCTTAATTTTGGCTCAGGTCATGATCTCAATGTTGAGATCAAGCCCCACACTGGTCTCCACACTCAGCATGGAGATTGCTTGAGATTCTCTCTCCCCTTCTCCCTTTACCCCTACCCCCACTTTTGCTCTCTAGATAAATTAATTAATTAGTTTTTAAAATCTTAAAAAAATGTATCCTCACTATCATACCAGTAATTTAGAAATATTGGATCCCAGCACCTTGTAGATTTCATCCACTTCAAAAATAAAAAACATGTGGGATATCTGGGTGGCTCAGGTGGTTAAGCTTCTGCTTTGGGCTTAGGTCATGATCCCAGAGTCCTGGAATTGAGTCCCATATTGGGCTCCTTGCTCGGTGGGGAGGCTGCTTCCCCCTCTGCCTGCTGCTCCCCCTGCTTGTGCTCTTGCTCTCTCTCTCTCTCTCTGATAAATAAATAAATGAAATCTTAAAAAAAAAAAAAAAGCAGGGGTGCCTGGGTGACTCAGTGGGTTAAGCCTCTGCCTTCAGCTCAGGTCTTGGTCTCAGGGTCCTGGGATCGAGCCCCACATCAGGCTCTCTGCTTAGCGGGGAACCTGCTTCCCCCTCTCTCTCTGCCTGCCTCTCTGCCTACTTGTGATCTCTCTGTCAGATAAATAAATAAAATCTTGAAAAAAAAAACTAGAATAAGAAACACGTAACAATGAAAAGATACCTATCATCTAAACCCATCTAATGAAATAATAGATTTTGTGATGAAAAAAAATTTCTTCAGGAAAACCTCTGAAACATATTATCAACTAAAACAGGCTATCTCCTCACTGTCACAAAAAATGATCTTGATCTAAATTATTTGTAGTATTTCTCATGCAATTACTAGATATCAATATCAGATATCAAGTATTGTATCCACCTCCAAGGGAAATAAGATTCTAATCTGCCAAATAATATTTAAAGGTCAGTTAACACAAGAGCCAAATCTCACAGAATTACAAGCATCTAACTCAACACTTCATGCTTGAATATCCTCTAACACATCCATTATGAGTGGTTATCCATCCTTTCTTGCAGTGGTAACCTCACCACCTCCCGAGATACTTTAATCAATAGTTATTAGAAACACCTTCTTATATGAAGCCAAAACCAGTCTTTTATATTTTCCACTTTTTATTCTTAGTCATAAACTTTAGGAAAATATCACTTGAGTTTATTTTTAGAACTAGAATTAGTTTATATTTTAGAGTACGCTACTACTTCTTAGAATTAATGGAGATAGTTCAATTCACTCATGCATTCAACAAATACCTGAATTATCTAGACTCTTCTAGATAAGGCAAAACAATATGAACATTAATGTCTGAGAAAGAATTTGAACACAGATCTGTTTTATTCTAAAGGCCATTTCATATCTTTTGCTCCCTTCTACTACCCTGTGATTATAGCTTGGACAACCTTTCAGCTTGGATATTACAGTAATGTTCTAATTGGTTTCACAATCTCTGAATTTTTCCTAATTTAATGCAGTCTGTCTACCTTCTAGATTAATCCTTCTAGTTCAAGGTGTTCATCATCACTAAAATTCAAAAACTTAGTCTGATTTTCCAAC